GCCCGGGCCCGCTCTGCCCTCAGGCCCGGCGTTTCCCGCGCCGCCGCCGCCGCTCTCACCTCCATGGTGCAATTGGCCGCCTCCGCCATCTTGTGAGCGCCAGCAGCGGCCCTCAGCGCCGCGGCCTTTTATAGCGGGGGCGGGGCCGCCGCCGGCCCCCTCGCGCGCCTCCCCATTGGCCGCCGCTTCCCGCTCGCCGCGTGATGATTGGGCGGCGCCCACGCCCATCAGGGTTAGCCCACGCCCCGCAGCGCTGATTGGGCGCGGGGGTTGTCAGTCATGGGTGAAAGCGAGGCCACGCCCGCGGGTCGGCGCGGCGGGGCGGTTCTGCGCGCTGATTGGGCGGGGGAGGTGTCAATCAGCAAGCCACGCCTCCCGCGCAGCGCCGCCTAGCGGCCGCAGCGACCAACGCAAATTCCTCCTGAAAACACCAAAAAATCCCAAAAAACCAAAAAAAACCCCAAAAAAACCCAAAAAAACCCCCCAAAATTATTAAAAAACCCATAAAACCTCAAAAAACCGAGAGAGAACCACACGGAATCACTAAAAACTCGCTCTTTATTAAACTTCCCATACAAAAAGCCGGGGCTGGGGGGGTGAGTGGGCCCCGAAAATCCCAAATTTTGGGGTTTTGGGGCGGATTTGGGGGATTTTGGGGTCACCAGTCGGGCTCCCCGAAGCGCCGGAGCAGCTCCTGCTGCGCCTCCAGGTCCTTCTGCACCTTGCGGCGCATGTAGAAAATGGGGCAGTCCCGGCTGCGGGGATTTTGGGGGGATTTAGGGGATTTTGGGGTTTTTGGGGGATTTTGGGGTTTTTGGGGATTTTGGGGGGTCTCAGGATTGGGGGGATTCGGGGGATATTGTGACATTTGGGGATTTGGGAGCATTTGGGGATTTTGGGAGATTCAGGGGATATTGGGCGGATTTGGAGGATTTTGGGGGATTTGGGGATTTTTGGGGTTTTTTGGATATTTCAGGATTGGGGGAGTTTGGGGGATTTTGGGGGGTTTTGAGACATTTGGGGATTTGAGGGGATTTGGGGGCATTTGGGGACATTTTGGGACA